TTTCCGCCCCTCGTCGTTCGCCCTGGGGAGGGCCTCCCTGCAGCCGCCGCGTGCCCAGATCTCAGACGACGCGATGCTTTCAGTGCCGGCGATGTTCTTTCGGTTTCGGCCTCCGGGGCCCGTCCATGGTGCCCCAGGGCCACCAACAATGAATCTGGGGTGCAGAGCGGAGCCCGCTGGGAAAGGGCCGGGCCTCCGTGGGGTCGCGCCTCGAAATCGCGTCGCTGGCTGTCTGGGCTCGTCGATCCTCCCGGGGGCCATGCCCTCCTCGCGCCGCCGGCCCCCCTCCTGCTTCTCCGCCGCCCGCTCTTGGAAACTCGATCTAGAGCAGCGTCCTCCTCCTCCTCCTCCTCCTCCTCCTCCTCCTCCTCCTCCTCTTCGTCACCCGCCTCCTCCTCCTCCTCCTTCTCCTCCTCCTCCTCCTCCTCCTCCCTCTCCTCCTCCTCCTCCTCCTCCTCCTCCTCCTCCTCCTCCTCCTCCTCCTCCTCCTCCTCCTCCTTCTCCTTCTCCTCCACCCCCCGATGCATCGACGACGCGTCGGCGATAGAGCGCCTTCCCCGGGCACCGCCTGTTTGTTGGGAAAGCCCTGCGGCGGGCGCCGCCGACCCGGACGGTGGGACGACGACGGCGGCGGCGGCGGCTACGCCGACGCTGACGCTACGGAGCCCTTTTTGGGAGCCTATTGGGCGCGGTTGGGGGGCCTCTTGGAACCACTTGGGGTCTGGCACCGTTTGGGGGGCAAGTCGTTCGAGAGCGTGCCAGGACGCTCTCGAAGCGTTCGGGAGCGCTCTGGACGAGCCGCGCCGCCCCGTACATCTCAGGCGGGCGACGCCAGTAGGGGGCCACATGCGAACCCTACCCCTGCCCCCCACGATTTCTGAGGGGGAGGGTGGGGTTCACTTCGCTCGGGAGGTCCCGAACGAAGTGAACCCCACCCTCCCCCTCAGAAATCGTGGGGGGTAGGGGTAGGGTTCGCATGTGGCCCCCTAGCCAGAGAAGGAGCCGCCTGCGCCGACATTGGCGCGTGAGCTGCCCGCGGAAGGTCGCGCGCGTGCGCCCTTGCTCCCTGCGCGGCGTGCCGCGGCGTCGGCCTGCGCAAGCCAACGCGTAGGGTCCGCACCCATCTCGCGCGAGGCCCCTTTCTCCGAGGAGGAGGAGGAGGAGGAGGAGGAGGAGGAGGAGGAGGAGGAGGAGGAGAGGGAAGGGAGGAACGAGGCCGAGGCCGAGGCCGAGGCAGGGCCGAGGCCCTTCCTGCCCTCCGGGGCGGCGATGGGCACGGGGCGGGGCGGTGCAGCCTCGTGCGGCGCCCCCGTGCAACACGCGAGAAGGTCGGGGCGCATATTTTTCCCACGCGCGGGCCGGCACGCCATTCGCGCGGGTCGTGTTCCGCCGCGCCCGCCGCCTGCCCGAGAGTGCCACTGCCCGAGTTACTCAGGAGGGGAAAACACACACAGACACAATTAATCGTCGATCCCCAGGAACATATACGAAAATATGGGAAGTGGGGGGGAAGACAAAAACCCGGAAAATATTGGAAAATATGGGGAATCTTTTTATTTGTGTGTATTTATTTGTGTGTCTCAGGGTCCCTTTATAGATGGGGGGCTCTCGGGACGAGGACAAATCCGTTCCAGAGCGTTCTGGCACGCTCTCGGAGCGTTCCAGGACGCTCCGAGAAGGAAGCGGCGATCCTTCAGCTTCAGAACCGCTGGATCTCAGAGGTTTTCGACTCGTTCTCGCCCGATGTTATCCTCGCCCTGGCTTCGTCTTGCCGCTATGTCTAAGTTATGCCGTCTCGCGTAAGGCCTCTTTGTGTTTTCGTCGCCCAGGTTCTGTCGGAAGAGTCCCCAGCCCAAGGTGCTCCCAGGATTCCCAAGGAGGCTCCCGCCCCACGGCCTCCAGAGCACCCCTCTCGCTTGGCCGGTCCCTATCCCCATCCCCATCCACAGCTGGAGCCCCACTTAGGGGGCCACATGCGAACCCTACCCCCACCCCCCACGATTTCCGAGGTGGAGGGTGGGGATCACTTCGTTCGGAAGCTCCCGAGCGAAGTGAACCCCAACCTCTCCCTCAGAAATCGTGGGGGGCAGGGGTAGAGTTCGCAGGTGGCCCCCTACCATCGTCTCCACCTCAGTTGGGGATATGCCCCTCGAAACCCGAAGAGAGCAGCTTATTGAATCGCTTCGCTCATTCCGCCGGCCCGTGATATGGCATCGCTGGTTTTTGTCTGTGTGTTCGTTGCCCATGTTGCGCTCTTGGGGGCGGGTGTCGTTCGGACGCGTTGCGTGGGGAGTTTTGATGGTGAAGCAGTTCCCTGGGGGTCGTCTCTGGGGTCTGTTGAGAGGCCGTTCGGGGGCGCCTGGGAGACATGTTTGAAGCCTTCTGGGGCTTCTTTTGGGCCTCCTGGGAGTCTCCTGGGGCCTCTTGGCGACATCTTGGGGCCTCTTGGAGGCCTCTTGGGGCCTCTTTGGGACCTCCTGGGCGCCTTCTGGGACGGAGGGCTCCATTTTTGAGTTCTCGGTATCCCTCCTGAGTCCCTCTTGGGCCCGTCTTGGGGCCTCTTGGTCCGTCTTGGGCGGCACTTGGGCCGTCTTGAGGGCTCTCTTGGGTCGTTTCGGCGCCGTCTTGGGAGCTTCGTGGGCCGTCTTGGAGCGGTCTTGGGGGCCTCTTGGGCCGTCTTGGAGCGTCCGGAAGCCGAAAACAGCCAGAACACAAAAAACATAGAAAAACCAATGAAAATCAACGATTTTGGCCTCTTGGGGCTCTCTTCGGAGGCCTCTTGGAAGGCTCTTGGGGCGTCTTGGAGGCCTCTTGGGCTGTCTTGGGGGCCTTTTGGGCCGTCTTGGGGTCATCTTTCGGCGCTCTTCGGGCGCTCTTTGGGGTCTCGGGGGCCTCTTGGGCAGTCTTGGGGGCCTCTTGGGGCACTCTGAGCGCGCTCTGGGGAGCCTGAGAGGCCGCACCCAGAAGGAAAACCATCTCTGAGTAGACTTGGTCGGGCGGCGACCGGCGACCGTTGGTCGGGGTACTTTTCGCCGGGGGACCCCCAGGGGCCGCCCCGCGCGCGCGAACTAGAAATACTGTTAATACTGTTAACCAGTTACCGGAGATCTTAGCACGCCCTGGCCCGTTGGGCCGGCGAATTATCCCCATCGGGGGGGTATATCGGCCAGTGGGGCCCAGCCCGCGCTGGTTGGGATGGGGATATAGGTTAAACGATGCTCACCTTCGCGAGGCCCAGAGGGCACCCAGGGGCTTCAAGATGGGGCGAAAAGCTGGGGGCGCCTCTGGTAGCAGCCCCCGAACATCCCCCAGGATCGCTGGATCTCAGAGATCCCCGAGCTGTTCCCAGATGTGCGATGACTCAATTCTTGTTCAGCACGCGGTCCCGGAAGTTCCGACCTTTTCTCCGGGGTCGGGATCTCACCCCGCGGGTCGTTTTTGGACGATCCCGGGGCCCAGTGAGGGCCCCATGGAGGCCGCAGGCGGCCAAAAGCCTCCCGTCCTGATCTCTATGGTGCGAGCATGTCTGGGTCCTGGTCCTGTCTTTGTCCTGGCCCTGGTTTTAAGTCGGGCCTGCCCCTCTACAGGGGCAAAATCCAAAATTTGTTTTGAACAATTATCCCAGTGCGACCCTACCTAGGAGTTGGAGCCTCTAGGAAAGCAACATTAGTAGGAGCGGTAAACGCCGTCCTCCTCCTTCTCCTCATCGCTTGCTCTGCTATGCTCTGCTATGCTCTGTTATGCTATGCTAGGCTATGCTAGGCTATGCTATGCTATGCTGCGCAATGCTATGCTGGGCTAGGCTAGGCTAGGCAATGCTATGCTATGCTATGCTGCGCTATGCTATGCTGCGCTATGCTATGCTATGCCATGCCATGATATGCTATGTTATGCCATGCCATGCCATGCTATGCTATGCTATGCTATGCTATGCTAAGCCATACTATGCTATGCTTTTGCTTTGCCTTCGCTTTTGCCTTCACTTTTGCCTTTGCTTTTGCTTTTGCTTGGCACCCAGGGAGCGCAACTGGGGGACCCGCGCGTTTGCCTTTACCTTTGCTGTTGCTTTTGCTTGGCTCCCAGGGGACCGGGGGAACCGCCCGGGGCGGGTTCCACTGCCCGGCCCCTTAAAGCAAAGAAAGTAAGAACCCTTCTAGGCAGAGCCTAGGTAGGGAAATAGTGTGGGGGACTATTTTTTGAGTATTTTTGGGCGTCCTGGGAGTTTTTTGTTTGAGTATTTTTCATTTTTCGTCCAAAATCCCCATGTAGGGGGACAGGCCCGACTCGGCCCGACCTAACCCTGGCTCCGTCTTGCCCTCCTCTCCCCGGCGCTCCTGCTCGCAGAGGGCCGCGCCGTGCCGCACCGCGCGGCGCAGCGGCGCGAGCGCCGGCGGCGCGGAGCGCGGCTGCCGGCAGCGCCGCCGGCACGGCCGGGCCCGCGCGCCCCATGCTGCGGCGAGTGGCGAGCCCGTGCCGGCCGAAGCGCGCGATGGACGACGAGCTGCTCTGCTACCGGAGGGACGGGGGGTCAGGGGCAAGGATGGGGGAGCGAAGAATGGCATAAGCATGAAGACTCGGAGGTCCGCGCGGAGTTCTCGGATCGGCGCCGGGGGCCCCCGGCGGCGCCTCCGGCGCCGCCCCTGGCGCGCTCCGCGCGCCAAGGAGGGAGGTCTGACGCCGATCTGAGAAATCCGCGCGGACCTCCGAGTTTATGTTTATGCCAATTTTCGTTCCCCTAGTTCGTGTGATGACATCGTTTGCCACTGGCCAGAGCAGTACTTGTCTGGACAACGTTTGTCAGAGGTGATCGTAAAACAAGTTGGCCATTCATGTCCATCAGCTTCGCCGAGATATGCACGTCTGGGCCCTGGTTCTCAGGTCGTCTTGGGGTGTTTGTGTTTATGCCAGCTTTCGTTCCCCCAGATGGGGGGGAGATGGGCGTACGCCGCGCGAGCCTGGCGTTGGGGGGGGGAGGCGTCGACCCCCCGTTCGGCCATCTCGTCGCCGAGGAGGGCACGATGGCGCCACGCCGCCCAGGAGCGTGGGGATGTGCCGTCGGTGGCCTACCGCCGATCTTTCGGCGAAGTACAGCGCGGGCGCGGCCACAAGGAACCCTCGCAAGAAACCCAACCCTGCAAACCCGCGCGCGAAGTGCACCTGATGGAAAACCCAGAGCACCCTGAACGCAGCAGCCTCTTTGATGGCCGCTGGAAGTCACCACGCAGCGCGCGGAGCGAGGAAACCCAGGGTACCCTGACGAAAAGCAACTGGTTTCTTGATCTGCGACCCCACTGTATCGCCGATTCCAGGTCGATCTTTTCCTTCCTATGCCAGTTCCCCCTTCTGTCGTTGCCACTCGGGGCTGGCGGCTAGGGGGGGAAAGGTGCCGATACTGCTATAGAGAAACAGACAATGACATACTGAGGTCCGCGCGGATTTCTCGGATCGGCGCCGGAGCTCCTGGCGGTGCCTCCGGCGCCACCCCTGGGGCGCATTCGTGGCTGCGGCTGGATCCGCCTCGGAATCCTGGTCAGAACGCGCCCCAGGAGAGGTCCGGTGAGTGGCGGTATCGGTATATTTTGTTCCCGTACGCAGGGCTTCCCTAACCCAGCCGCAATTTGGGGGAGCTGCGGTCCTTCAAGCAACTCCTGGGGGTCTATCGGCTGTGACTCGGGTCGGGCGAAAGGGGGGGTTTGGGAAAGGGGGGGTTACGAAATCTGCTGCATGCAGCTGGTTTCGGCCCCGACCGAGGGGCCCATTCCTCGATACATGGGCGCCTCCGGCGCCGGGAGGCGCCGGGAAAATCAGCTACGTGAGCTGATTCTCAAACCCCCCCTTTGCTATCCCCCCCCTTTCGCCCGACCCGAGAGAGGGATCGTTGATGCGGTGAGTTCCCCCTGAGGCCCCAGGGGGTGCAGGAACACAGCCCCCACAGCTGTGGCTGGTCAGGGCTTCGGGGCTGGCACTCCGCAGCCAGCACATGCACCGCCCTCCTGTCCCCTGCCAGTAGGGCGTATGTCGCAGGCCTAGAGGTTGACACCAACACCAAGATCGGCGGTGTGCCTCCACCGAGGGAAGACGATCCCGATCTCGGTGATGGTGGTAATATTTCGGTTTCCAAGGTGACCGATATTGCCACCAACACCGAAGTCTAGGATCATTTTTCCCATGTGGAGGCAACCCCCTGTGCTGGTGTTGGTGCCAATTTCCAGGCCTCCAAGTATGCGCTATAGCAGTGCTCGGGATGGGCATAGCCAGGCATCGTGGTAGTGCATATGGAAGTACACTCTGCGTTTGACATGGCGTCGGGGCTGCGCGCAGACGGCCCTCTGGGGGTAGTCCAGACCCCCACGGTAGATTCTGTACATTCTCCAAAGGGTGCTTGCACCCAGGGGGTTCTTGCTCCTGGGAAGGTATTTGGGCCTGTCGGTCGGTCTGGCGGCTGTGTAGCCGCTGTCGCTGCCCCGTCGCTGCCCGTCGTCTGGGCCTGTCTGTTGGTCCACTGTTGGTCTGGCGGCTGTGTAGCCGCCGTCGCTGCCCCGTCGCCTCCTTGTCGCCGCCCGTCGCCGCCGTTGGATTGCACCATATGGGCTTCAGGACCACATCGCGCCTGCGGTGCGCTTTCTGATCGCCCACAGCATACATTGCACCACACAAAGTACAGCTTGCACAACATTTGTTGCACAGCCACCTAGATTGCACCACCTAGATTGCACAACGTAGATTGCACGACATGTTGCACAGCATCGATTGCACCACATATATTGCACAACTTGTATATATCACAACTTAAATTGCACTATTTGTATGCTCCACTCCAAGCCAGAATTCGGATCTACCCCCCCCCCCCCGAATTATCCGTTCGGCCTTGCGCATTGCAGCTTACGTTTGATTCTGGCCCATCCTTCATTTCACATTTGAATGCATACCCATCCCAACCAGGCTTGTGTCGACACCTCCCCCCTACATCCCCGACAAATGATGCTGTGCGCGCACACCCTTTTATCAAGCATCATCAGCGTTCAATACCCACTGCAACAGATGTGACACAGTCCACACGCTCGCGGCGTCGCGCGCATGCCGAAACATTTTGTGAATTTTAGGTTTCGTGCAGATCTCAAGGCGGAGGTTCCCGAGAACACGCCAGACAAAACCGCCCGAGCCACCGAGTCGCATTCTGCCTACAGATGCCGCTTCCGCGCTCCAGAGGACCGCGTCAAAAAGGCCCATTCGGGGCGAAAGTTATGATGTTCCAACCTACTTTAGCCTCGATCACCAGAAAGAGTTTCGAGCGTCGAACAAGTACCGCAATTCGATGGTTTTCACGTATCGGGCATTGGGAGACACTCGTCCGACACTGCTTCGACACTCTGTCGACACTTTTCTGGGTGCTCGAAACTATTTCTCGGATGTGGTCCTTCAGTACGATGGGGGCAAGATAAGGCGAAAGCCAGCTCCCGCGAGGGGGCCAAGAGAGCTCCACGGACCTCTGGCTGCGACAATATCCTCGCGGGCCGGGCTTCCCCGTTTCTCGCCCCCCCCCCCGCCCCTCGCGGAGCACGCAGCCATGCCTCGGAGCCCAGACCGCGAGGGCGGGGATTTGTGGGCCCGGAGATCCAACGTCTTGAACAAATCAGGACGCAGGTTTCTCCTATTCTTCGGGCCTCTCTAGCGGACCCCGCTGGGCCCCGCGCCCCGGAGCCCAGACCGCGCCCCGGAACCCAGACCGCGAAGGCGTGGACTTATGGACACGCGCTCCCGGAGATCCTGGCGACTCAATTTTTTCGAGCCGGGCGTGTTTGCCTTTTTTCGGCGGGTCCCTCACAGATCGATCCGGCTCGAAAAATGACGCAGAAAGATGGGCTCTGGGGCTCCAGGCGCGGATTTTCACGTTGTTGCAATTCTTTCGCTACGTCGGATCTCAGGGTTCGTCGCTCGCGAAATCACGACTCCGGAGGGGCTGGGGATTGGCGTGGACCTGACGGGGCCCCGGGGGGCACTGCGCACGGACGGCCCCCCGGAGGCAGCCGCATCGGCGGGCCCCAAGAGGAAGCCCGGAGTACACCCCCACGCCCACGCCCCGGGATTGGCGCCCTGGTCAGTGCTCGAAGGTTTCCCGAGGCCCGGGGTGATTTCCATCAGCTGCGCCTCGTCGATTGCGTTCCGGGGGTGCCGGAATCGCCCCGAACCGCCGCCGGAGGCTCGAGTTATGGCCCGACGAGGACCATGTCGGAGACATCGGTCAGGGGCAACGTCAGGGGGGGTCGGCATGATCAGGGGGGAAGGTCCGACCCTGGACTTGGGGTGCCGACAGCCCACCCATCCCAGGAACGCGCGGCCTCGCTATCGGGGCCCTGTCGCCGATTTGTCGGCGATGTTAGGGGAACGAACAATTCGGAGGTTGATAGACCTCCTACCATGACACGTCGATTAGCGAATTGGCCGTTTTCGGTTCGCGAGAGGGCGTCGCGGCCGTCATTTTTGCGGGTCCAGGTCCGTCGGTTTCGGTGGTAGTCCATTTCTACTAAAGGATGGTTCTCGGGTCCAGCACCGATCCGAGAAATCCGCGCGGGTTTCCGAGTTTCTGTTGTTTATGTCATTCTTCGTTCCCCTAGTATCCCCGATTTCAGCTCGATCCCCTCCTCTTGAGCGGGTCTGTTTGGTTTTCGGGCCACAGCTTGGCCCTCTGGGGGCTAGCCGGGACGATGATTATCTGGACCCCCCCCGCCGGGGAGTCGTTAGGGAAACGGACGATGACATAAACATGAAAACTCGGAGGTCCGCGCTGATTTCTTGGATCGGCGCTGGACCCCCCTCCCTGGCGCGCGGAGCGCGCCAGAGGCGGCGCCGGAGGCGCCGCCGGGGAGGTCAGCGCGGATCCGAGAAATCCGCGCGGACCTCCTAGTTTTTAATGTTTACGTGTGTAATGTTCGGGGATGGACAGAACCCCCAACAGTGACACGTTGATTAGTGAATTGTCCGTTTTCGGTTCTCGAGAGGGCGCCGTGGCCGTCAATTGCCAGGCTTGCGCCCGCCAGGTTTGGGCCTCAGGTCGTTTTCACTAAACCACCTTCTACTAAAGGGGGGTCTGTCCATCCCCGAAATGTTTCGTTCCCCTATAGTCGCTGCCCCCCACCGATCGTTCCCCCTGGGGCGAGCGCCAGGCGGAGAGGGAGAGGGGGAGCCTCTCGGCACTGCTCGGCAGGAGTGGGGCAAGCAGCGGTGGCCGGCCCCCGTCCGGGCAGGGGCACGTGCTGCTTGCCTGTCGGTCCCTGTCCTTCCCTCGGGGGCGAGCGAGGCGGGGAAGTGAGAAGAAGAGTCAGGAGGGGAAACACACACAGACACAATGAAGCGTCGATTCCCAGAAAAGATGGGAAAATATGGGCAGTGGGGGGGAAGACAAAAAACCTAGAAAATATTGGAAAATATGGGGAATCCTGTTACACCTGAGGCGATGCTTAAGAAAACTTAAGTTTTCGGCCAGAGTCTCGATTATTCTTAACGTTTCAATGTAAATCCTAAGATTTTAATAGACATGTTGGGTTTTTATTCAAGTTCTGAGACTATGAATTTCTCAACCCATGATTTCTTAAGCATCTCGCAGGGTGTATTTGTGTGTATTTATTTGTGTGTCCCAGTGCCCCTTCAAAGAGGGCCTTCTCAGAAGGCGCCGGGACTTCTCAGAAGCCCACGCGCCTTCTGCGAGGTTTTTGCTGTGTCTTCGGGGAAGGCTTAGAAATCTTCTCGGAAGGCCGGGGGGCTTCCGGGCCGCCTGAGAAGGCCCGCCCCTCCCCACTTCCCACTCCCCCTCGCGCTCGCCGCCGATTCTCTCGGCCTGAGGCGCCCACGACCGTGCAAGCGTGCAAGCGTGTGCGTCGCCCTTCGAGAAACTCTCAGGCGATCGCAAAAATGGATCAAGGGGGCGTGGATTAGCGACGGGTCACGTTTCCATGGGAAATCGCGGATTTCCGCCGCCGAACGTGGCGGCACCGGCTGCATTTTGGGGAGGGCACCTCCCCCGATCCATGGATTTGGCGACCGCGCGCCAAATCCATGCATCGCCGATCCATGGTTGCGCGCCCCCGAAGACAGGGCAGAGGGCAGGCTCCAGAAGCGCCTCCGCATCAGTGGCCCCGACACGACGTCGCCCCTCGCGGGCGGCCAGTACAGCGACGTCAACGGCTACCTGCAGGCGGGGGCCACTGCAGCGAGCCTCGAGCGAGCTGGTCGACTCGCAGAGAGGTCGCCGGGCGATCTCCTGGCGCCAAGGTCTCGTGGGCAGCGCCAGGGTTAGGTCGGTCATGTCCTCCTACAGGCGGATTTTGGAGGAAAAATGAAAAATAGCCAAACAATATGCAAAGATTGTCAGAATAGTAGAAACATCGCCCCCAGACTATGACTATTTTTGAATACTCCTCCTGCAGAGGGACAGGCCCGATTTATCGCCAGTGAGGGGGGGGATCCCGGTGTGGGGGCGTACACATCGACCCCCAATCGCCCATTCATCGCCAGTAGGGCTAGGGGCCCGACAGCCCACCCTTTGCCCAGCACGGCGCAGATTTGCTACCGAGTTCCGGTCGCCGATCCGTCGGCGATGTGTCGTCGGCTCCAGGTCGACGTTTGCCCCCCTGAGCTGGTGCACTCAACGCTGCCCAACCGATGCGTTTGCACAATGCACACCCACCTGGAACGAGCGAAGCCCCCAGAAAGATTCGGTCTGGAGTTGATCAGGAGGGGAAAAATCACACAGACACACTTAATCGTTGACCCCCAGGAAATGTAGGAAAATATGGGACGTGGGGGGAAGACGAAAACCCGAACAATACGGAAACATATGGGGACTCCTGGGAATCGTGTGTATTTCTTTGTGTGTCCCTGTGCCCCTTCGAGTTGAGCGCCCCCGATCCCCAACGACCTGATCCCGCGGCGTTAGGGGTACATTGAGTGTATTGCCGTCCTCTTGCAAGGTGCGCTGTCAAGACGACTGCAAGTCCGCTGGGGAGGAGGAGGAAGAGGAGTGGGAGGATGGATGGGGATGATGTGGAGGATCAGGGCCGTGAGGGGAGAGAAGGGGAATGATGAGGAGGAATGATGACTGACAATGGTTATGATGGGGAGTGGTGGTGGTGGTGGTGATGATGATGGTGGTGGTGGTGGTGGTGGTGAGGATGATGATGGCGACGACGACAAAGACAACGACGACAACGGACGACGACGATGACGACGACGACGGACGACGGCGGCGACGACGACGATGATGACGATGATGAAATTGATGCTGCTGATGCTGATGAAGATGATGATGAAGGTGATGATGATGATGATGATGATGATTCTGATGATGACGATGATGACGATGATGACGATGATTATGATGATGATGTTGCTGATGCTGATGCTGATGGTGATGACGATGGTACTGATGGTGATGATGATGCTGATGATCATGATGATGATGAACATGATCATGATAATGAATATGAATAATATGATGATGATGATGATGATGATGATGATGATGATGATGATGATGATGATGATGATGATGATGATGATGATGATGATGATGATGATGATGATGATGATGATGATGATGATGATGACGACGATGATGATGATGATGACGATGATGATGATGATGATGATGATGATGATGATGATGATGATGATGATGATGATGATGATGATGATGATGATGATGATGATGATGATGATGACGACGATGATGATGATGACGACGATGATGATGATGATGATGATGACGATGATGATGATGATGATGATGATGATGATGATGATGATGATGACGACGAGGAGGCTGGTGTACTTGGGATGACCTGAGACCGCTTGGGGCTGTAACCTCGTGGCTACCTCGCGAGTTGTCAGGATCACCTCCGTACAGCCGGCGGAGTTCGGAACCCCGCGGCCAAGACATCACAGGCCGCCCAGCCCGCAGGAACAAGCTCCCCGAGCCGCGACGCCGTGAGAATCACAGGCTCGGCCAGGGGCGACGCCAGGAAGCTCTCAGCACCCCCGAAACAGTGACCCTCCTCCTCCTCCTCCTCCTCCACCTCCTCCTCCTCCACCTCCTCGATGCCGTGACTTCTGCATGGCGGGCGGGCCCCCCTCAACAATCCCGAAACCCTTTCGGTTGAGCCAAAAGGGAGTCCAGCTGAAAGGGGGTGGTGCGTTAGGTTTGTGGCAACTGTATTGCAACTTTATTGCGCCAGAGAGTTTTGCATTCCATTGTGTTGCAACGAGCGTATTGCACGCGAAGCATCAGCAAAACACACTTGCGCACCGGACTGTGTTCCACGCCATCTATTGCAACCCCGCAAATCGATTGCACCAAATCTATTGCAGCACCCCCTTTTCGCTGGACCCCCTTCTTTCACCGAGCGCGTTCCGCTACTCGCAAAGTCCCTGATCGCAAACGTCCGAAAAACCATACGCCTGCCTTTCTGTAATGCATCGGACATCCGCTGCGGCGGATCCAGGCCATTTGCGAGCAGCCACTTTGCAAGTAGTGGAACGCGCTCGCCTGTTTTTGGTCAACCAGAACCTTCCCCATCCCCCGAGATCCTGGACGCCGCGATCCGTTCTTCTGCGCACCTGGGCGTCTCCGCCTGGCCTCTTCGGAAGTCTGGGGCCCTCTCCCAGGGCCCTCCCGCAGATCGACCCGGCCCGAACGGCCCGTCGGGCAGAGATGATCAGCCACGCGCAGAGGGGGGGTGGGCGGGAGGGGGGAGGCAGGCCGGCCACAACTGGGGGAGCTGTGGTCCTTAACCCCCCTGGGGGACCCATCGATTTCGACACCCCTCTCGAGAGATCGTCGATGCGATGGGTTCCCCCAGGGGGGTAAGGACCACAGCTCCCCCAGTTATGGCTGGTCGGGGAGGGCTTCTTCGAAGCACCCCTGCTTCTTAGAAGGCGCGGGCCTGGTCTGTAGATGTAAGGCCGGCGCCTTCCAAGAAGCAGCCTCCTGCTAAGAAGTCCGCCCCCCAAACACACTACCCCCCTGGTGCGCGCCGCCAAATTGAGCTCCCCCACACGCCAGTCGTTGAGTATTCTGGGTGGGATACTGATCGCGGGGTGGGCGACTAACCTTCCGACGGAGCTTGCTCATCCCCCCCCCCTCCTCCTCCTCCTCCTCCTCCTCCTCCTTCTCCTCCCCCTCCTCATGATCTCCCTCCTCCGAGCAGGCATTTTTGGACTTCCAGATCCCAATCTACTTCAAGCGCCCTCCTACTTCGAGAACCGGCACGCTTTCGCTGTGTCCTGTGATCCTCTGGGCGGGCCGGAACCCCAGTCTGCTTGACCCGCCTTCCGACTCCACGTGCTTACCCACTTCTTCCGACCGACGCGCCTTCGAACTCGGCGTCTCGCCCGCCGTAGAGGAGGACATCGTGCGCAGGGCCGGCGGAGGCCGCGGCGGCTCCCCCGCCTTGCCCAGACCCGCCCGGAGGTCGGTCCCGGGTCGAGGATGGGGGGTCGAAGGGTGCTGAGCTCGGGGGGCGGCAAGGAGGGTGGTGGTGGCCAGGGGGGGGGGGACAATAGGGGGGCACGATCCGGGCCTCTGAGGTCGGGGGCGGCAAAGCGGGGGGTGTGACCAGGGGGGGGTGGATATCATGGCCTGGGCCATGATATTTCCCCAGATTTCATGGCGCCTCTTCTCATTTCAATGCGGCCCTGGCCACCCCGCAGGGCCGCGCACGTGCCGCCGGTCATGATTTGCACCCCCCCCTCTTGGACACCCCCCTCTTGGCCGCTCCCGAGGGTTCTGAGCCATGATGACTCACGGCGCGGGCCAGGCTGCAATTAGCAGGCCACCTTGCCGTCGCTTACCCACCGCTTTGCGTCCGCTCGACGCCCTCGGTGCACGAGCGAGGACCCCAGGGCCGCCACTGGAGTCGCATGTGCCTCCACTGCCCGTCCCCTCTCCGAGCCTGCGTCGGCTCCCTGCGGCGCGTCGTTACTGCACGATCCGGGCCTCTTGAGGTCGGGGGCGGCAAAGAGGGGGGTGATGACTAGGGGGGGTGGATATCGTGGCGTGGGCCATGATATTTTTTCCTCCAGACTTCATGGCGCCTCTGCTCATTTCACTGCGTCCCTGGCCCCCCCACCTGGGCCGCGCACGTGCCGCTGGCCACGATTTGCGCCCCCCCCCCTTCCTGGACGCCCCCCTCCTGGCCGCCCCCCGATGAGCGTTGTCGGCCCTCCCCTGGGCCTCCAGGGCCCCGTGGAGGCCCCCCCCGTGAGCTTCCAGGGACCTCCCGGAGTCCTCTCTCTGGGACCTCGGGCCCGGACCCCCTACGTGGCAACTTGTGCACGCCGTCGACCCCCTGATTCTCGACTCGAGGGTCGTTTTTGGATGGTCCTGGGGGGCCCAGCGATCTGCACGAACGAAATGGGTACGGAAAGAATGGGTACAATGCCCAACAGCAGTTCCTGTTCATTCAGAACAGGACTCGCTGTCCGCGCCGCCGCGGCCTGCGCCCATTCGAGACAGAAGGCCGCCTGCACAACAGCTGCCGCTGTTGGTTTTGGACAACATTTGCTGTTGGGCATTGTGCCCATTTCTTCCGTACCCATTTCGGGCGTCCAAAAGCGAGGGTCCCTCGAGGCCGCAAAGCATCCAGTTGTGGATCGGTGACGGGGCGGGCGCAGGTTGGGTCGCGGGTGGGTTTGCGGGTGGGTCGCGGGTGGGTCGCGGGGTGGGTCGCGGGGGGTTCGCAGACGTGGACGACGACGACGACAGCAACAACAAGAGTACTTACCGAGGGAGCCCGCTTCAGGCACGCACCCAGGGATGGTGCAAGACCGTTCGACCCCCTCACTCTGATTAGAAACGTCCATCCTATTGTGTTTTCATGACGCGAGCATGTCTGCGGTCTGAGATGGCCCCGTCGCGGCGGCCGCGCGCGCTGCAGGCGCTGCACTCGGAGCGGATGGCGAGGAGGGCCACGGTGGACTCGCTGATGACATGCGCCGACTGCGCGCCGGCGGCCGGGTCCACAGGACCACGCCGCCGCCCCAAGTCAGGTGACGACGACATCGTGTTCGTTGCCGTCCGCCGCCGTGGCCGTCGCCGCTCGCCGCCGCCGTGGTCGTGGCCGTCGCTCGTCGCCGCCGCCGTTCTTGTCGTCCTCGTCGTGTCCTCGTCCTCAAGCTACTCGCTCGTCGCTCGTCGCTGCGCACCTCCAGCTCAAGAGGTCCAAGGCCTCCGAAGTCCCCAGGCCTCCCCCTAGGCCTCCAGAGGCAAGCCCACGCGGCACGGTGCGCAGGCGTCCTGACAGGAGCACGTTCGTACACCCCTTCGGAGACGAACGGGGAAGCTCGACAAGCGCCTGCAGTTCGGCATCGTCATTGTTTTGGAAGGGGTCACAGACAATCAGCTTCCGACTCCACTCCTCTCCCCTCCTCGTCATCCTCTTCGTCTTCGCCCTCTCCTCATGTCCCCGCCTCCTCCTGCTTTTCCATTGGCCTCGGCGTGGCCAGGGCGACCCTTGACTGGGCGAGGAGGTCTGTGATGACCTATGGCGTGGGGTGGTCACTCCTCATGTGCTGATGATGCTGCTCCTGATGCGTCATACCGCTCGGAGAACGCCAGTTCGAACGGTATGTCCTCCAGTCATGCCTTTCTCACCCCATCTTTGCTTGTCTATCCGCTGCCGCTTACAGTCGATACCGCGTTTCGCGCCCGCGTTGCTTCATATTTGCTCTACATTCTGCTATCAGAAAGATTTAGTTTTTCACCCATTCTCCTCGCATCAATTTTTCGAGTTGGTAGCACAGCTTCGGCCCCAATGCCACGGCTGCAATGGCTTGTCATTTTCGTCTCGCTTCGACAGCAGAAGCTCCTACTCCCCAGTCCCTTACATTGCCGCTCTACATCCAACTGGCCATCTCGCTGGACATCCGCTATCGCCGCCTTCTTCCTGTTTGCCGTGGCAAGATGCGTCGTCTTTCCCAGATCCGTCGGGGCGTCCGCCCAACAGCAAAGACCGCCGACGAGAAAAGGCGCGCACTGATTTGAACCAGCACGAAGCCTACACGGACCCCGGCCGCGCGCCGGAGGTCTCAGCGAACTTCCCGGGCTTGCGTTGACTATGTCGGCGCGGTTCGCGGGCCCCACACTGTCAAAGCAGCCGCCTGTGGGGGAAACTGCAAGTCTCAGACAGCTGCCCGGCACAGGTTTCACATCCACGGTGTCAGTGAAGGGTCCTGAGCTTTTTGTGACTGTGTCACGAGAGCTTTGGGAGGAGCAAGCAGAAAAGAGCGGGGAGGCAATGGAGAATATGGCGAGTGCGTCGCCAACGCTCCGAAGGACAGCAAATCGGAATTGGGATAACCAGATCTATGTTCCTTGGCGCGCGACTTTCCACCTTGCCCGTTCTTTCCCAACTACCAGCAGGACAGGGTCCCGATGCGCACTCTTTTTGACGATCATGCAGTTCGCGGTGTTCACTACAGTGACAACGCAACGTACGAGGAGCATGCTCGTGATTGTGTCACGGTGTGCTCCGAGTACCGGGAGCACCACAGTCACGCGACAGAAGTATATGCCCAATACGCGGATGAGGAGGAACACGTGTGGGGCAAGTATCCACGGCGTCTCGGAGGCCCGGTTCCCGAACATCGCCGCTTGTGGATTTCTGGCCTCCAGCACTTCCACGACGCGCGGAGGGAACTACGTTCTGGATGGAAGACAGTCGGAGCGGCACGACTGCCATCGCCCGAAACGTCTCCCGCATGGGCGCAGGCGGAGGCAGCGGCAACATGCGACACCTCCGCATTTGGGGGCCCGAGCAGCAAGTTCGCGTGCCTTTCCAGCAATGGGCGCGGAAGGTGAGAATCTGCTCAGCGGCGAGCTCCGACCTCAACGAGTTTCGCCAGGTGGCCGGCATCCAGTCTCGCCACCGGCACGGCGCGCGCGCAGGTTGACGACTGGCCACCAACTGTTCTGATCCATGGAGGTCTCATCAACGGCAACCCAATGCAACCGATGACCTCCCCGATGCGCAGGTTGGCCGAACGGCGGCGGGGCGAACTGGGCGAGGTCGGGCGCGCTTCGGCAGTGTCAGCAGTTATGAACTTCAACAGACTGCCGCAAGAGCGCATCGACTGTGTCAGATATCTGTATCAGCTTACGCGGTGCAGTAGCATGCGCCTTGATCGCCTAACTGCGGTTTCTTGTGACCGTGGTCCCCTTACAAAATGTCCAAGAAACGCCCAGCATAGATGTGCGTCGACAAAGCCGCAGTACGGAAATTACAACGAGGCCCCAACACAAAATTGCCAAAACTATGACATCGACGGGGATGTGAATTTATACAGCGACTCTGGTTACCGTCGCCGCCGACGTCGAAGCTGAAGGGCACGACGTCCGAGGTGCCAACCTACGACTGCGTGGACACACGTTTTGCGGAAATGCGGCTGCTCATTGTCTTTACGCGCGGTGTACAGAACATCGAATACAAGTGCATTCTAGCTGTTCCGCTGAGGTTCTAGCAGCGGCCCGCCATTCGGAGGACTGCCGCCAAACGAGCGCCGCGCTACTCGAACTAAAAGCCGAACCATTAACTCCGACACAACTCGAGACCATGATGGAAACACGTGTTATATGCACCAAGGCAGTATGCACCACTCGTGCCGAATATTTATTCAAGCCGGATCGAGTAATGATCCGAAGAGTCCCACTGAATGTGCCCTCTCTGGCCATGTCAGCTTGATTGTGCAAGTGGTGGAAATTTGTATCGTGCGTGACATAGTGGTGTGAAATGGCGGCCGGCGGACATACCAAATGTTTGTTTTGATCGTGAATGACTCCTACAAGTGATGCCGGGTATCCAGTCAGCCGAACAAGTAAGAGGGAAACTGATACAAACAATAGATGGACAACCAGGCAGCATCTTCTGAGCCTGGGCCACATCGGGCTGGTCGATGATTCATAAGAGCCAGCATGGCCACATGCATTTTGTTGCCCGGCCACGGCTCTTTGCTTCGCAAGTTTTGGGGTGTGAAGGTTCATTCGGGCACTCTGTTTTTTCTTTTTCTTTCTCTACGTATGTATCTGATGCTGGTGGATTCGTTTTTCAGCTGCAGTAGCGATGTTGCCCACTGCGCGCACGTCGTAGCGCCAGCTCCAGGGTGAGACTTCTCGCGGCTGGCCCTTAGCTACAGTGTCTGATCAAGTGAAGATTGACGCGGGTTCGCGCCCGGCTCTTTCCACACTTGATTTTGAACCGCTGTCGTTTGTACTTCAAGCTGCTCGCCACTAGAGTATGACTACGTCGTCTTCGAGGTACTATCACACCTGCGCAAAAGGAATGCATCCTTAGATGGTGCGCTCCCCGATCCCATCCATTATCTCTCTCTCTCTCTCTCTTGCTTGCTACGGATCAGTTTTGGGATATTGTCGTACGCCGCAGGCGTAAAGTATGATACGGCTTACCATGCCCATTCCGATTCGCCGGCCCCCCCCCGCGGGATTGTTTTGTTGTTTTTTCTGCCAGTCCCAGAGGCCCCAGCGAAACGCCATTAGGGTACAAACTTGGAGGCCCCTACGGTCTCTCCATCCGCGCGCCCCGCGCGGCCTCAATGGCGCCCTGCTCCTGCCGCCCGCCGTTGCGGTTCGGCCCTGCGCGTGGCTCCCCCCCCCCGCGGCAGGGGCGTTCGGCGGTCTTGCCACTGCCGCGCCGCGCCGTTCGGTGCCCCCCCCTCCCCGCGGGCTTGGGGCGCTCTGGGCCCCGCGCCGCGCGGCGCGCTGCCGCGGGGCAGGGGAGGATGCGCCCCAGCGGCGGCGGCGGCACGGAGGAGCCCGACAGGCACGTCCTCTTCGCGCTCGAGGTGGAGGAGGACTCGCCGCGGGCGCGCCCGCGGGCCACGAGCGAAGCCAGCGCGCCGGGGGCCTCGCTCGGCGAGCTCCGCGCGCCGGGGGCCTCGTTCGAGGCACGTTTGTCCTGGGCCCGCGCCGGGGCGACCTTCCCGCAGCGGGGGGGGGCGGCGCAGCTGCCGCGGAGCGGGATGCTGCGCATGCAGAGGGCGACGCTGCTGTCCCAGGGCGCCGTCGAGGACCTGGCGGAGCGGGCGCCGGAAGTGCTGGGCCGGCTGCAGACCTCCCGGGGCCTCGCGCTGCAGGCGGGCCTGCTCTCGCTCTTCGTGGCCGTGACCCCCGCCAAGTCGCTCGCCAGCAAGATGGCCGTCGGGTCTGGCAAGGTGCAGGCCAGCGCCCTGGTCATGCTGAACTCCGCGGCCTCCATCGCGATAGGCTTCGGGATGGCGGTCTGGCTCGAAGGCTTCGGGGGGGCCGTCGCGGCGCTGGCGGACGTTCAGGCCTTGCGGAGGTACGCCTTGGTAGGTGCGCTCTTCGCGCTCAGTATGGTCATGAACATCCTGGCCTTCGGCACGGAATTGGACGCGGGCACCATTCAGGTCCTCGGCCAGCTCCAGCTGCCGATGTCTGCGCTGTTCTCCAGTCTTGCGTTCGGAAGGAAGTTCACCTTCAATCAGTGGATGGTGCTTGTGATCATTGCCATAAACACGCTCGCGTTTTTCCGCGCCACCGAGGCGCGGAACTTGGCCACGGAGGCCAGGCTGAGGGCGCTAATCCCAGAAGAGTGTTTTCTTGACTACGACCCCCGCGCCGCCCCGGGCAAGACGGCGGAGTGCCGTGTGGAAGGCCACCCGCCCCCGAGGCGGGGCAGCGCGGGGCTGGGCATGCTGTACGTCGTGGGCGACATGGTGACGGCGGTGAGCGCCTCGCTCATGTCAGGGGCGTCCTAGCCGACCCCTCGCAAACCATCCGCTTCTGTGACGCCCCCCTCGCTTCGCCCCGGGACGTATGTATGCGGCCGGAGGGGAGCTCGAAAGGCGAGGACGACGTCATTGCAGGGTATGGTCTCCTGGGGGGCGGTCAGGCCGCGCCCGATCATGGCGGAGAGGTTCCTCAAGGCTGGGGCCGGCACCCCCTTCTCTGGGGCTGCTAAAGGTTCCCATGGCCCAAGGCGCCCTCAGCCTTTC